TATTTTCGTGGTAAACATGAAATCGTATTTTGTTTCTTTTGCTAAGACATATATGATATAATATTTCTTTTGAACAGAGCACTAGGAAATGCAGGTGGGAACGTTACGATGGTCAAGCTAAGTTCTTGGATGAACTAAAGAAAAGGAAACTAATTGCACAGAAGAGGGGATATGGACCTGACTACGTCAACCTATTCGTTAAACATCACAAAGAAAAGATGCGTGAGTTTGCTAGACAGAGCGGTATTTGTAACCCAATCGATGTTGGTATAACAAATGGGGATTGGAGAGACGGATGATGTTAGAGGAGGAGAGGGCAAGCAAGGAGGCAAGGGAGGAGACAATAGTACAGATGCAGATCTTGAACGAGCATGTTGCTGCATTATGTGCCAGTGAGTGCTTGAAAGCCTTTTTTTTCGTTGCCTGATTTTAAATGTAATATAATCGCATTGCTAACTGATTGCATTTTATACATGAAGGGATTAGTTGTAGCGAGGATCATGCCGCAGAGGTGGCTCATGCAAGGTATGAGGAGAAGAAGTTAGATGAGCATAGATCGAGTCGCACCGTTCAATCACCGATTGTGTTGTCTGATGAGGGGGATGAGGATGAGGACGACACTAGCAGACTGAGTGAGCTCATTGCTCTAGCAGAGGCGGGCATGCAGGCGCAGGAGGCTGAGGACGACACTGGCAGACTGAGCGAGCTCATCGCTCTAGCAGTTACAAACAAAGACATCATTATATATTCCAAACATTTAATCATCTAAGGAGCAAAATACAACCACAATGAACATCACAACCAACATAATATGTGCTGCGCAGTCTAAATAGTCCACAATGTCTATACAGTCCCAAATAGTTATAGAAAAGTAAATACAAAATCCATAATAGTGCATACCAACAACTACCACATCCCTCACTGCCTCCTACTCTTGCCCTTACCCTTGTGACCGAGAGCGCTCGTACCTAGAGTGTAAGGGTCATGCGAACGGCGTCGCCTAGTGCCTAGAGGCGGTGTAGGATAAGTCGAGGGAGCGTCATGGAGCTGAGAGGGGCCAAGCTCCTCGTGGCTCTTGTCCACGTTGTTGTCGTTGTCGTCATCTTCCTTGTCCTCGTCCCCGTCCCCTATAGCAACTTATTGAATGACTCTGCCATGTTGCTGCACTGAAACTCGTACCTCCATCCATCGACGTCGTGAGCTCTCGTCCATTTCTCCAAATCCCTTGTCAAACCTGTGAGCCATTGTCTACCTTCTGTATTTGATGCGGTTCTGACCTGCTCCAACTTTTCCTTAAAGTATTTGTCCTCAAGCTGTCGAGCAGCCTCCTAGAATAGATCAAAGTTACCCTTGACACCATCCTTCTAGAGTAGATTCTCCGCAAGGTGCCGATTACACCAATGATGGTGCAAAGGTGCATACCCCTCTATCTGCTCTCGCACGGCATTAAGTATGTCTTGATGCCTATTAAATATGACGCCAACCTCCCTGCCAGGCCCAACCACGTGTATCCGGACTAGCCTCAAGAACCATCCCCAACTGTCATTGTTCTCCTTCTCAACCAAAGCAAATGCCAAAGGAACCAACTTGTTGTTCGTGTCACAGGATATGGCTATAAGAAGTGTGCCCTGGTATTTGCCAATCAAGAACATACCATCAATGGAGAAGACAGGACGACAGTGCCTAAAGGCCTCGACACACTGAGGGAAGCACCAGAAGGCACGGAAGAATATCTGCCTCCCATCCTTCCATGCATTAGGTTTTGGGATGTACTCATAATGCATGCCTGGATTCACCGCTTTGATTGCATTGAAAAGAACTGGCAGCTGCTCATACCCATCCTCCCAGTCCCCATATATCATCTTCCACGCTCGCTGCTTAGCCCTCCATGCTTTACCATAAGTTATCACATATCCTCCATACAACGCCTTAACGGTCTTGATAATTGTCCTCACCTTCATGTTGGGTTGTCCCTGCAAAATTCCCATCAACCGCTTAGCAATGAGGGTAGATGTCAACTGCCGATGCCTCAGTGTCAGCTCATGGTCAGCACAATTGTGTGGCCCGACAACTTTTGTGATCTTCCATTTTTCGGTTACCTGTTGCTTCCTTGCACAAACTCTCCATAGGCAGCGTTCCTTGTCACACACAACTGTGTAACGGCGCTCCACATATGAATGCAATACCCTATAAGGCCTCTTTCGTATCACTGCAAAAGCCTGCAACCACCTCTTCAAAGCAGGGAGGTCATTGAACACCCTCCCATTCTCAATTACCATGTTAGGACCGGCCTCAGGAGCTTCTAGGAGCTCATCATCATGTCCTTCTGCAAACGCCTGATCGGAATGAGTAAGATCGTTGAACTCGTGAACTCTAGGATCACGGCGGCCAAGAAAGATACGCCTCATCATCTCAACATCACTCTCCATCAGCTCTCCAATAGGGCGATCATCATCAGAATCAAGAGCCCTAGCCATCTCATATGGCTCTGAATCATGCATAATTTCAACACTATTGGAGCCACGAAATCCATCTCCAAAGTGCACTTGCGCAGCAACAGGGGGCACATCCATATTATCATGAATGTCTCCTGCAACATCAGTACAGAAATGAGAAAAGAATGAAAGAAATAGATGTAAGGAACGGGGTAAGCTCCCAAAAACCATGCGGTTAAGACACTTACTCGGATGATTCTGTGTCAAAGGGATCTCATAAGGAGGATCTGCCACGGAAACATGAGGCCATCTCCAAATACCTCATTGGGTGCAGATTGAGCATCGGGAACCGTAGGTGCAATCTACACATGCGGGTAAGGTTCCAGAATAGGAGGGTCGATGTATGCCTGATGATCCATTGCTAGGGTAAACCCATGAGAGATGGGATCAACTAACACCCGACGCACAACAACGTCCAAACATTGCAGCTGGCTCTTCATAGCCGATCTCACATAGTTCTCCCACTGATCCACACAACCAATTGAGATCATTCGCCTGAAGATGTTCGGAGGAGAACCTAGGTGCAGTACACCATCAACTGCAATGCCATCATTTGCAAGGCAATGCAGCTCCTCCCGAGCCCTTGCAACCATCTCACTAAATGAAGGCCTATCATTGAATAGCACAGGCATGCTTTGCATGTCAACAAACTCAACATATCCATAGCGATCGCTTTCAACGGTGCCTCCATGATATATGATCACTAGGTTGTCCATCTAGTTCAAACACGTAACGAAACACATGTCCTTTAGTCCAAATTAGACGATACATAGTACCTAACAAGTACTTTCTAACTAAAAACTAAGTAATCAAGATAATAACTACGTATGTAGTTATAGTGTACTCACTAAATAGTTAGATCATATGTAGTTAACTAAATATGTAACTACATATCTAAGTAGCTATCTAACTATATCTATGTACCTATGTATCTATGTTTATATCTATCTACATATATATCTCACTATATCACTAACTAAATCAACTACCTGAGTCATCACATTAACTAGTAAATAACAAATGCCAACTAAGTAGGTAAATTTGTTTTCATAATTTTTACCTTTCCGGGCTGGCGGAAGATGGGCATGGGTCAGGCCGACGATCAGGGCCGACGGTGGCACGGCCGACAAGAGCGGTGGCACGCGACGGGCGCGGGATGCCCGGGGCTCCGCGCGACGAGTCCGGCACGACGCGCACGGGAGGCACGCCAGCGGTGGACGGTGGCAAGGTGGGGCGAGGCTGGCGGTGGAGGGCGGCAAGATGGGCCGCGGGTGAGGCCGACGGTGGAGGCCAAGGCGAGGCTAAGGCGAGGACGGCGGTGGAGGCGGCACGGCACGGCGGCCAGCCGAGGGCAACGACGCGGCGTGGGGGGTGGCAAAGCCGCGGGGCACGACGCTCCTGCACGCCGAGGCGCGCGCGGGGGGGCGGCGAGGTCATGGCGCGGCGCTCGTGGCGATGTGATGACGCGGGCGCTGCTGGCAGCGGCGGTGGAGCTCAGCTAACCTAGGGCGAGAGAGGGAGAAGAAGAGAGGAAAGGCGTGGGCCCAATAGGTATTGAAGGCTCGGCGCCAGAGTGAATGGCGCCGAGCTCGGCGCCAAGATCTACGGCGTCGAGCTCGGCGCCATTCACTCTGGCGCCGAGCTCTCTGGCAGGTTATCCACCGTGCCAGTGCGCTTGGCGTCGACGCCGGGCGCCAAGCTATCAATGGCGCCGAGCTAAGGGTCCATTTTCAAAATTCTTTCCGCCAGAGGTTTATTTGTGAGAAACTTTCAAAAAAGGGCTAAATTGTAAAAAATTCGGCGCCGCCACCCCGCCTGGCGTCTGCGGGCCTCCACTTCTATCGAACACCTCGTGCATCACCGTCCCACCCCCAGCCAAAAAATCCCAAATCCCTTCCCTCCGCCATCGATCGGGCCTCCATTGCCGCCAAGCGCCGTGCCACGCCGCCAAGATCCGACGATTCCAAGGAGTTGGGCCGCAACGGTGGCTATGAGGGTTCACGAGGAGGTGGAGGAGAGCTGCAAAGTTCGGGCGAGACCGCCATGTCGGCCGAGCCCAAGGAGATGCCACCGAAGCAAGCCGAGCAACCCTCGCCGCCGTCCACGAAGGATGCCGGGCCTGTGGCTCCCGGCGAGGCCTCTCTGGCGAGGAGCGCGCCATGGCGGTGGGGGTCGCGTTGAAGACCAAGACGACCTCGAAGCATGTCAAGAAACCCCTCCGGCCGCAGGAGGAGGATGAGTGGGGACTCGTGATGCGTCACCGGCGAGGGACCCGCCTCCCACCGACACCGCCCGACGCCGCCCCACAACAAGAGGGCCGTGAGTCCGGCAGCGGGTCCCACCGCCGCAGCAGGAAAAAGCGCGCCGGGAGAAGCGTGATGCGCGATCGATGGCGAGACTGCCGCCGCTCGGTCCTACAAAGAAATTAGAAATGCGTTGACTAAGCCGACGTCGCCGCCCTCCTCGTCTGACATCACCCAAGAAGACGAGCACCATGGCAGGGAGATGGCAGAGCAAGAGCAGAGCAACACCTCACCGCCACAGGACGAGCACAGAGCCTGTGAACAGTTGCAGCAGGAGAAGAAGATCACAGAGCAAGATCATGCCGGTGACACTTCACCCCCACATGACAAGGACAAGGACATGCAAAAGCCACGCAGTTCTGAGACAGAGAAGAAGCCAGCAGTTGGGCGATCATGGTCCTATGATGACGAGCTCAAGATTCTCAATGCTTTGGTCGTGCACGCCCAGTCCTATAACGGTGCTTTGCCTGACTCATCACACCTTTTGGCCAATCTCACCTTTGACAAAATTGATGCCACCGAGGACAAGCTCACCGACAAGATCCGGAAGCTTAGGAGACGGTACTGCAGTTTCCTTTTACAAGGCTGCCCATCCGATGACCTTAGTCGTCGGCTGTTTAACCTATCTGAAATCCTCTGGGGCCAAGCTGATGAAGATGAGAGGGTTGAGCCAACATCTAGGGACTTCAGTGTACTATCAAAATTGTATCCTCACCTGGCTAAAGAAGTCAAAGCTTACGCCGAAACGCACAGCTCGGGGGACTTAATCATGGCAATGTTCATGACCATTGGTGATGAGAAGGCCTGCGATCTCAATGCTAAGTGCAAGAAGCAACATATTGAAGCATTCAAGTTGGAGTTGGGCCAAGCAAGCCTAACCAATGAATTGCTCTTTGCCCTTTCAAGTCTGGCCACCAAGATCACGGACCCCTCTCAGGCCACATCACGCAAGAGGAGGGCCGAGAAGCTAGAAGAGCCCCTTGATGAGCAGTATATAAGGCGCAGCAAGAGAGTTGCAGGGAAGACTGAAGACTTCAAGGACAAACCAAATGCAGATGAGGTCTTCAACCCAAAGCCACTGGCAATGGTCCCAGCTCCAAACTCCCCAGCCCCCCACCTCACCAAGGACATTGTGGAGGGTATTGCCACTGGCTTCCTGCAGATTCATCCTAGGGACGTCTGGCGCACTGATCAAGCTGGACACCGATGAAAGAAAGGCCTAAAAGTTGGCGGCACCTTGAACTAATCCTAGGGATAGTGCAATTTCAGTTTGAACACTTTTGGTTCATGTCACCTGTCTCTCTAGCTTTGCCTGTGAGCAAGCATGTTCTATCGAAAGAGAAACAGCAGCTTGTTGGCAAAGAGGCAGGTTCCAGGGTTCAGAAAAAAAAGGGCTGTTCATATGGAACAGCCGAGGGTATTTGTTACAAATTCATCGCATATATCTATGCTCAGTTATCCAACGAATAAAATTTCTAACTACTGGTCTTGAATTTATACAACAATTTCATCCATTTGGTGATTAGGCATACACATTGGAGTATATTGTCTTCCTTACTGATTTTTTTCCAGTTTCAAGCTACTCCAATGAAATTAATATTCTTTCCATTCCGATTATTATGAAATTGCTGTTCCATAAGCGGTGTGCACATGCATGCACATTAGTTAAGTTATCATAAACAAAATGTCAGTTGTCTTGTTTGACTTCCAATTTTACTTTTTTTTAAATCACGTCTGTTCGTAGTTAAAATTATGCATCTGATTGCATGTGGTGTGGACGTGTGGTACCCCGCGTCTTCCTCATCAACCCTCTCGCCTCACAGCAATCATATCGCTTGAACGCATGCGACGCGGCCATCTGGTGGACCTCCATCTCCAGGTTAGTGACTTTGATCCCGCTGCTTAAGTCTGGAGATGCTACCAGAAAATTGTGCCCGTGCAATTGCTCACCAGTTACCACACTTCTGTGCTTAATTCCTTTCAAATCCGGAGCAATTAAACTTGTGTGACCTCCCTTTTGCACCCCTAGTCTCTCCTGTCTACCTGCTAGATTTGCTCTGCTCCAGTCTGCTATGCAGCTTTTCAATGTTTTTAAATCAACAGAGGCAATTTCAACCCCCTCCCGGCATGATCTGCAATCTCGGCCATTTTTTTGAAATGAAATCTCGGCCAAATTGTAGCCTGTATGATTTGTTTAGATTTTTTTATTGAGGGAACATGTGGAGATGTCTGGATTTTTAGCATCCGACGTCACAACATACTCGAAACCTTCTCAATTTTTTTACCACAGCCTCCACATGCGATAACACGACGCCTCGACAAGTTTCGTGATTTTTGGACTTCGTTTGCATTTTATATAATTTAAAATCACATTTCCGGCAAGTACCTCGACATGTTACGTCAACGAGATGCTCGAGATTTCATGTGAGTTCCTGGATACGGCCTAAACATACCCTAAATATCATGAGTATCAATTTTTGGATGACCAAAATCCATTATTCCATGTCCCTGCAGTTCAAATTTGAAATATCCCGAAAAATTCGACGAAACGAAATAAACTAATGAAATATATCAACAAAAGTCAAAATTGCCCCAAATTTTAAAATAGAGTATGAAATACTGTCACAAGGCCCCAGAAAAAAATTTGGGCCCAAAATAAAAAAAATATATTTTTTTGAAAGTGCCATGGGGGCACTTTAAGCAAAGTGGGTTTTGCTAAGTGCCGCCCAGGGGCACTTTCAAGAAAGTTGAAATAAAAAACTGGGCACTAAAAGCCCACCGACCCAACCCAACTGCTCAACCCTAAGTCACGCCCCACCACCCCCGCTCCCCTCCCACCCCCCCTGCCATTGTCGCGCCCTCACCGGCTGAATCGCCGCCGCCACGGCGAGCCCCTCAAGGCCACACTGCGCTGCACCCCTGGCCATTGCCTCGCCATGATCACCATCACGCCATCACGGCCACACCACGCCCACCCCACCGCGCCACGCCTGCCGCCTACTGGGCAGCGCTCAGCCTCCCTTCTCCCTCATGACCCCCCCCTCTCTCTGGCGCCAGAGGTGGTGGTGGTCAGTGCCGGCCCGCCATTTCTGGCAACAAGGCCAGAAACCCGGCCCCCTTCCCCGGCCGCACCGCCAGTGGGAGCAGGGGAGGTAGGAGGAGGGGGGAGGAGGAGAAGAAGGAAGGGAGAAGAGGAGGAAGAGAAGAGGAGGAAGAAGGAGAAGGGAGGAGGAAGAAGGAAGAAGGAAGAAGGGAGGAGGAAGAAGGAGAAGGGAGGTGGAGAGGAGAAGGGAGGAGGAAGAAGGGAGGAGGAGCCCCGGCCATTGTCCACCCCTCGTTAGCGGTGGTGCCGTGCCCTCGTCGCCCTGCTCCCGACTCCGCCCATCGTCGACGAGCACACTAGGTTCGCCCTTCCCTTTCTATTCAAATCGTGCAATGGATGTCGGCCATCGAGCCCTTGTTAGTAGTAATAGTTGTTGTATGTGGTTTTCGCCATCGAGCCGTTGTTTGTGGATGTTGGCCTTCGTGGCGATCTTTTTTGCAGTTTTTGAAACCTCCCGTGCAGGGAGGTTCTCACAAATTTTCAGCTTGTCACTAATGTATTGCCTTTTTATGCAGGAGGAGGCCCCCGGAGGGACCTCGGTGACCCCGACTGTCTTTGTCGGCCAGCATGGTCTGCACTCAAGACTGCGTCATGGCGCGTGCCATCGCACCCGACTCGCCACAAATTTCGCTTAGCTCGACCTCACCGACACCCCTAGGTATAACCCCTCTATCCGTATCATGGTCTTAGGTCACCGATTCCAGCTTAGGCGTCTCCGTCCGAAAGAGATACGGTCGGAGTTATGCATGTCTTTGCATATCTCATGAGCGTTCGCTTTCGGATTGTCCACGTTTTTGGACAGCCCACGGATGCGTAGATGGGTTAGTTTCCATGGTCATTCGCTCCGGTCGAGAGCGTTGTTTCGACATCACCCCCCCTGTTGTTCTCCTGGATACACTCTCCCTTGCGGGGACGTGTATCGGGAGAACAACAGGAGGTGTGCCAAAATTCCATCTCTGGATAGGAGCGGAGCATGGAAACTAACCTCATCTATGGATCCGCGGTGGGATTAGGACCTATCCTCACCTATTAGAGAGTAGGGACACCGCGTAGATGCAATTGATGGTGACTCATATGTGCCGATATCGCCTATTAAAGGATGGAGGACCATGAGTGGATGTACACGCCCGAGAGAGAGGCGAGCACGATTACGACTTGTCATTTTATAGTCAAGGTCGAAGAATTCTTACAACATGCATTTGGCAAGAGTGCTTTGGCCATTCTCTAGTGGTTTGTCTGCATGCAAATGCCGTTGTGACAATGAAGAAGGAAAGATAGGTTAACCATGGGTAAACATATTGTGAAGTTTGGATTTACTCCGGGTTACCACCGGTGGATCCACCATGGTGAAGCCGATCGTATCAGGGAGGAGGTGGTGAGACCATGGCTCGAGGCTTTCGATGATGATGCCGGGGTAGCAGACATGCTGGATGACACGCACCAAGCTCAGTTCGCTGAAGGACGTGACAAGGAGGAGATGGAGGCTGCCGTAGATGCCTTCTACCTGATGTTGGACTCGGCACAGAGACCCCTTCACGATCATACTAATGTTTCTCAGCTGGATGCCATTGGTCGCGTAATGGGGTTGAAGGCTGAGTTAAACCTAAGTCGAGAAGGCTTTGACAAGATGGTGGCCGTGTGGAGCGATATGCTACCAAAGACACACATTATGCCGAAGAACTTGTACGAGTCAGAGAAGCTCCTTCTTGCACTTAAGATGCCGTATGACAAGATACATGTGTGTCCGAAGGGGTGCGTCCTATTTAGGAAAGAACACGCGGATGCAAAGTACTGCCCGAAGTGTAAATCCTCCAGGTACGTGGAGGTAGACTCAGGCGATGGCCAGAAGAGGCAGCTTAAGATCCCCATGAGAGTCCTATGACACCTTCCGCTCCTACCGAGGCTCCAACGGCTATTCATGACCGAGGAATCCGCGAAACAGATGACATGGCACAAAAACGGCACACGGTACAATCCTGAAAAGATGGTACATCCATCCGATGCTGATGCATGGAAGTACTTCAATTCGCGGCATCCTCTCAAAGCAGAGGAGGCTTGTAATGTACGTGTCGTGCTGGCAACAGATGAGTTCAATCCATATGGCATGATGGCTGCACCATACACATGTTGGCCCGTGTTCATCACCCCCCTAAATCTCCCCCCCCGGTGTCTCCTTTCAATGGCATACCGTGTTCCTGTCGTTGATAATCCCTAGACACCCGGGGAGTAATATGGGTGTCTTCATGGAGCCTGTGATATATAAGTTGATCGATGCTTGGGTCAAAGGGGTGTGGACATACAACCGAGCTACAAAGACTAGCTTCAAAATGCACGTCTGGTACCACTACTCCCTGCACGACTTCCTAGCGTACGGGTTAATGTGCGCCTGGTGTGTTCAGGGGAAGTTCCCATGCCCAATATGCAAGGAAGCTGTGAGGTTCATATGGTTGAAGAAGGGTGGCAAGTATTCGTCGTTCGACAAACATCGTCAATTCCTCCCTCTTGACCATCCATTTAGAGAAGACATCAAGAGCTTTATGAAAGGTGTCAAAGTGATGGACCCTAGACCGTGCTTGAGGACTAGGGCGGAGGTTCATGCTCAGATAGATGCTCTCATGCCCAACGAAGATGGTGGTTTCGTGGGATATGGTGAGCAACATATGTGGACTCATAAGTCCAGCTTGACGAGGCTCCCCTATTTCGATGACCTCCTACTGCCCCATAACATTGATGTCATGCACACTGAAAAGAATATCGCCGAGGCACTTTGGGCAACGCTCATGGACACTGACAAGTCTAAGGACAACCCTAAGGCTAGAGTGGACTGACGACGCAGCGAGATAGGCCAAACCTAGAGATGCGGCCTCTGCAATAGGAAAGCGAAAGGAGAAGGCCTAGGGCCCCTATGTCTTGAAAATCGATCAAAGGAGGGAAGTACTTTGATGGATCAAGAATTTAATGTACCCTGATGGGTATGCAGCGAATCTGAGCAGGGGAGTAAACTTAGAGACTCTACGAGTCAACGGGATGAAGAGTCATGACTACTACATATGGATTGAGCGGATACTTCCGTCGATGGTTCGAGGCTATGTCCCTGAGCATGTCTG